GGTTTATTTTGGTAAAAACAAATAATGGAAAAGAATTATTTGCCACCGACAGATCAATATAAAATGAATAAAGTATTGATTCTGTTATCCTCTTGCACTATGGTCAAAATAAAAGTTCCTAGCTCTTCCTTAATTTTCATACGTATGTCGTTCAGCAGGCAAAACAATTTCAACCACAGACTATTAATTTACAAATAATGAGAAGTGAAGATTGTGGCCCTATAATTACATGCGCCACCAAAGTAAACATAAATGGTTGGTCCAAGACAATCACAACCGACTAGAATACCATACTCAAAACTAACGTGATGGGGACATGCCCAAGCCCAATAACTGCCTTGGCAGCATTTCTTTTTCTGTGAGCACTCTTTCTTTTAGCACGTTTCTCCAGATGAACTATAGAAACATGACCTTTTAATCCCGCCAAGAGAGTGTAAAACGAAATGCCCTAAAGTTTAATGGAATCACCAGTTAGCAGTTAAGGGCATTTTTCTGTGGAAGATTTGGGTCACTTTTTTGGTTTGGGTTTGCATTTCCCCCTAGACTGGTTGTCAGGTGTTAGGTAAGACAGTACCTTATTAGGCTTGCTAACGTAGGTGCCCACTCTCCATTCTTTTCCTGTTGTTGGGTTTTATCCTCAACCAGCCCCTTCCCAGCATGCACTATCTCCTAGGACTTCTTGGCAAGTAGTTAACAAGATAAACTAAGGCACAAGAAGAGTCCCTCACTGGGCAGGAATGGAAGTGAGGTGGCTTTGTCTTTTCATACTGTTCCCTTCATCCTCTCCTTGTGAGTCGGAGAAACAGCAGGAAAAGAACATGGTAAACTTCACCTTTATTTCTGCCTCGCTCCAAATTGAAACCAGTCCCCAGAGCCTTCTTAGACAACACAGTTCTATAATTTAGGGGTGGCTTCAGGTTGTCACCCCAATCCAGACTCGGTTAGGTGTCCTGAAAGACGCTGGCTCTTGGTGCCAGCAGAGTTTTCTTCAAGAGGTGAGTGATCAGCCCTGCTCTTGAGGCAAGCCTCTGGGACTGCTAGGGTTTGTGCTGGCGTGTGGCTCTCTTCAAGTGAAGACTGGTCGGTTGCCAAGGACTACACAGTGAAGGACGAGGGAAGCACTAGTCCACTTGCCACAGCGTGGACTCTTCTAGGTAGAGTAGGTAAAGCATGAGCTGTGTGGAGGGTCGCACAAGCGCCCTCTTAGCCCACGTTATCTCTGCCACTCTGGCAGTGTCGGTAGCAAAATGGATCAGGGCGAATGGGAAACAGTCAGGCGAATCTGGCAGTGTAGTGGGCCACCAAGCAAGTAAGGCTACAAGGTTTTGCTCCCTTTAGGTCCCCGAAAAGGAGAGTGACTTTCACAGAGTGCAGAACCGTGCCCTCCAAAGTCTGGCTGCCACCACCTGTCAGTCCAGCGGGAGGCCCAGCAGGTCACAGCTGACGTCCCACAGGCGCCGAGCTACCGTCTCATTTCGCGCCTGGGCAGAGACCCAGCCCACTCGGCAGTCACTGGAAGAGAAAGAGAGGCGCTGAAAGCACAGTGGGAAGGGCCGTGACAGACCCAGCAGTCACCCAGCTGCTTCTCGGCATGGGCATGTGTCTTCCTCTCCACTATTATCGCTGCCCTTACTGAAAGAAAGCCCCACTGAGATGCCACTGCACATCTACTCGGAGGGCAGTGACAAAAAGAACAACCTACCAGGAGGTATGTGGAGCAATGGGACATACTTAGAGTGTGCTGCCTGGGATGTGAGATGGGGCAGCCACTTTGGAAACCGGTCTGACTGTCCCGGCAGTTTCGCTCCCAGTAATAAGCCCAGGAGAACAGCAAACGTGCACGTAGAACCTGTGCCCAAACGTTCACGGCAGCAGCCCTCTGTGGGAGCGATGCGAGCGTCCGCCAATGTACGAATGGATAACTGGGGCATGTACGGATATTTTCACAAATGGCATAAATAACACACACACAGCACATAGAAACGACACAATTATGTTAAAAGCTCCTGGCATGGCGCGCCTGTCTGTATACAACATATACCTTGGGACAGTTCCAGAAGTGAATTTATCCTTATTCATCTTATTTACTAGTCTGAAGAAATAAAAAAGACAAAAACAACCACTACTTTCAATCATATTTGTACAATAAAGGTATAAGTCATGTCAATGGGTCATGATTCAACTTTGCCAGGAAAGTTGTGCATTTGCCCCGGGGCAGCAGATGGCCAGGCTGGGCCGGACAGTGGTGCCATGCCCGGAAGCTGAGGCGTGCCCAGGTGTGGGGGGAGGGCTGTGCGAAGGCTGCCACAGTAGGAATACGGGCTAGTCCCATGGCAGGCAGGGGCCGCTGCCAGCCTGTGTCCTCCAGTGCCAGCCCCTTATGAAGCTGGGCGGCACGATGGTGTGAGTATGGGCATACCCTGTCCCAGGATCTGGGGGCCTCAAAGGGTCAGTGGGAGCCATCTGGTTGGAGGGAAGGACACCCGAGGTGCCCACAGATAGGAGGTCCACTGTGCAGTGGTCAGCACCCTCACAGTGGGGCAGAATGCAGAGGCTGCAGCATGCCAGCCATGCCCCCGAGGGGCCCTTTAGGTTGAGTTCACAGACTCATGCACCACCTGGGCCGAGGCTACGGCTCTGGTGAGGGTGGTTTCTGGGGGCAGCACAAGTGCTATCTTCCTGCAACAGAGACGGCTGTCTGCAGAGCAGGGGAGGAATCCTGCCAAGAGAGGGACTGCTTTAGAAATTCAAGGGTAGGCTGGTGAGGGCCAGCTGCTGGGAACCAACTTCTATGTCAACGGGCACCAAGTCGAAGATTTAATATTAACTCCATTGGATGGGGAAAGACAAAGGGGGAGGAGGGGAATAAAGGTGAAATTGAAGTCAGCAACATGTAAAAAACTACTGATAAGGGATACTTACAAAAGTAGCATGCAGGGGTTGTGTAGCATGCAAAACGTACATCGTGGATATTATTTGTATAAAAACAAAGTACACATAATGGAATAGGAGCCCTGGGGGTGGTGTTGTGGGCTATGTACTGAGCTACTGACCCCAAGATTAGCGGTTCAAATCTACCAGCCTCTTCTTGGGAGAAAATGAAGTTATCTGCTTCCCACAGGATTGATAGCCTCAGAAATCCAAAGGGGGCAGTTTGACTTTGCCCTATGGCGTCGTTATGATTGGGAACAACTCGAAGGCAGTGAGCTTGTTTTTTTGGCTTTACCACAGAAGAGCATTCAGGCATAAGGGACGAAGTACCAAGACATGCTCCGCAGGGAGAGGCCTTAAAGACACGATGCTCAGCGAAAGCACGGGCCAGTCCGAGAGCAGCAGACGGTCACTGGTAGGGTCTGAGGGAGAGGGGAGCGGGGAGCACTGCTTCTCTGGTAGATGGTTTCCTTTTGGGGGGATGAAAATCCCCCCAGAACTTGATAGAGGTGCTGGTCACAAAGCACTGGGCACGGACTAAACTGAGAACTGGATTGTTCTCAGTCTAATGCTTCATTTTAGCTTATAGTAATTTCAGCTCAATCAAAAAGCAATAACAATGAAAATTACGACTCTAAGTTGACTTAAGTCATCCAGTTAGAACCCTAAGGGGGTTCTAGATTCTTTCTGTAAAACCCCCTCATTGCCAGCAAGTCGGTTCTGACTCAGCACATTTCCAGGGACGGTCAGTCCTTAGTCACCGTTATTACATACCCAGTACCTTCCAGCGCACGCACGCACGCACACACTCCCTCTCTCTCTATCTTCTATGACTCCTAGGTAATCCACACGCAATGGGTACAGTCCACAGCTGTTACTTTCTGTAGTGGAATTACTTCTCGCCCTGGGCCATTTTAATCGGTATCTCTCCTCCTCTAGCCAAAGAGTCAGGGATGGAGGAATTAAAACACAAGGGGGCAGGAACACGAAACCCCAAAGGCTGCTTCCTTTTGTAAAGTAGATCATGAGCCCAAACCAAAAGATGATCGGCCTGCATTCACAAAGGCATCAGGGCACCAGCCACTGATGCCTCTCGGGACACTGGGCTACGCCTGGCTCTTCAAGCTTCCCTTTGACCCTGTGAGGGCCTGTGACCTCACACACCACTGTGGCTGCTACACAGTCCTGTTCTGACGTTTCCCTCCTTTGTTGTGCCCGGGAGCTTCTTCCAAACACCGTGGGAGGTGAGAAAACATGGGGAGGGGGAGTGGATGGGGAAGGGCTGGCCCCGGGCTATGGCTGTTGAGGGTGTGATGGTGGCTATGCCCAAATACCCGTCAGTCAAGTCCGGGGAGAACTGACTCCGAGCAATGCCACAGGACAGGGGGCAACTGCCCCTTCGGGTTTCCAAGGCGATAAAGGCTTTCCCCTCACACAGCGGCTGCGGGTTCAGTCCAGGCAGGGTACCACAGCACCCTGGGGCTCCAAAGATGATGAGCCCTAGGGGGTTGAATAATGTCTAGTCCTGAGCATGTTCCAAATCCTCTACCAAAAACATGTTTGTCTTTTCCTATCCCAGAAGCGAGTTCACAGGCACTATTTTTAGTCCTGAGGACAGACAATAAAGAAAAGTGGATTTAACTGATTTTTCACGCAGAAAACCAGACGAGCTCAAAAGGACACAAAAATGACATGGTGTGGGCATAAAAGACCAGGAGAAAAGAAATAGCCCACGAGCAAAATCATCAGGCTAAGAGATGACATGAAACACAAATCACCCCTCACCGTGGACCTCACAGAAAACGTGGAGTCAGAAAACAACACATCTACACAGCCCACCACCGTCACCGCGTTCCTACCTGAAATATTCCCCACTCAGCCGCTCCAGGCCTTCTGTTAAAGCACAGTGCAGGCTGGTCTGGGCGCCCTGCTCAGGGGTCTTCAGAAAGCAGGAGAAAAGCCACCACATGCACGTCATGAAAGTTGAGTAGCGGGTTAATTCAGAGTTGACCGAGCCGGGGTGGACGGCATAGGTGGTGACGCCGGAGCCTGGTGGAGGGGTGACAGGTGGGAGTAGCAGACAGGATTGATGTTGCCAACCAAGCAGAGAGCACAAATAAACGCGGTGACGCCGGATAGACACAACCTGCCCACGGTGACATCACAAGCACTTCTCAAAAGTAATTCCCATGTCCCCTTTAGCGATCAGGAAGTGAGGGCTCACGGAGAAGCCGGGACTTGTCCGCTCAAGAGCACTTGACACTGTCGGCGTCCCCTTCCTGCTGGGCCTGCCTGCTGGACCGCCTCTTCCGGTTTCCCTCGCCTCTCGACGTGCTAACTCTCACCTTCTTAGAGATGGTTTATCACGTTCTAGCCCACGCTGCTTTTTAAGTGTGGGGAGTTCTAGGGCTTACGAAGCTCCCTCTTATTTCTCTTCGGCCTTCACCTGTTTATCTAGTCCAAATTTCTCCGTCCGTTCTGGACTAATGAGAGGCAGCGCAATGTGGTGGCTAGGGGCATGGACGCTGGAGCCCGACTGGTCTGTTTCAAATCCCCTCATCAGTAGGCGCTAGCCCTCATTGGCAGCTCGGGCCCCTCCCCCCTCCTATACAATCTGGCCATTAGGATGAAGCCTTCACTTGCTCCTGAGGCCTCCTTAACGACAGCAACGAACTGCGTAGTCGTCCAGTTTTACAGTTGAGGAAACAAGTCCAGAAAAGAAAGGAATTTGCTGGAGGTCACAGAGTAGCACGTGGTCAAGTCAAACCTTCAGCCTCAGTCGGAATCTCCCCACCCACTGTGGCCCACTTCCAATCCCCAGTCCCCGAGAGAGGGGCCGGGTGCAGTCGTGGAAGCACTAGGCTCCAGAAGAATTCCCCATCCCCATGGCTTTGAACTACTCCCAGTGACGGACCCACCTCTCCACACTCACTTCTCCCATGCCTACCTTTCAGCCTCCGGGCCAGCTCCTGAGTGAAGAGAACATTAGCCAACTTGCTCTGACAGTAGGCCAGGCCTGCGTTGTAGAATTTCTCGCCCTGCAGATTATGGAAGTTGAGCCTCCCCAGGAAATGTGCTAAAGAAGACACGTTCACTACCCTTGCTGGGGCGGATGCCTTCAATTTCTCTAGCAGCAGGTGGGTCAGAAGGAAGTGACCTATAAGGGGGAAGAAGGACAAGAATGAACAGTTCATGGCCAATGTGGGAGGAGAATAGCTCAGCTAGAGGAAGATCTTCCATCTCAACATTTAATGTCTAGAAATCGCATATTTCCTCACTGCCCCTGGAGAACAAGCAAGGCGAGGGCTTGGGCAAACAGGAGTGTCAAAGACACAAGATCCCCCACTTACTTCGGATGAAGTCGGTATTATGTGAAATCTGGAGTCTGGTCTCCTTTTTAACCCTGGTTAGCATCCCAATTTTAGGAGCACATGGCGTCTTATCTGATGGTCACTACCACGAAGGCAACACACAGCCCCCAGTCCAATCGAGAGGCTCAACAACGCCCAACGGGAAGCTGAATCAGAATCACAGATGGAAACAGAGGCTGGGTCTTAAGATGCCCTCAAGTTCATACCTCAGCTATTAGGCAGGCCCATCTGAGACCCAGGCACACAAACAACAAAGAAGGCTCAGTCTGATCCTTAGGTTTCCCAAAAAAACGTCAGCTTCCCTCCAGCTTTCTGATGACGTCAGATTTCTTACCAAGGTGGTTGACGCCCATGTGCATCTCAAAGCCATCTACTGTCTTGGAGTAGGGGCACATCATCACTCCCGCATTGTTGATCAAAATGTGGAGCTGCTTTTCCTCTGCAGGGAAGAGGAGATGGGGTGTAGACACGGCCAGCCACGCCTGCCATGTCTTAAGAGCCTTGCCCCATCCCAGACTTTGAAAACGGGGCTCCGGGGCTTAGTCTTTCCTCCATCTTCTTCTTTATATGCCTTTTGTATTGTTTTTCCTCTTACGACTTTGGTCACATTGAACACACTTTTACTACTTCACTACTGAATGGCCCTCCCAACCTTCCTAATGTGGGAATTACTCACTAGCTCTGGGAAGTGTTCTGTTCACTTCTCCCAATATAAAGATGCCCCAAAGGAAGGGGAGAGTGGATTTGTTCTGTATGCAATTCTGCCGCCCGGACCCAGCTCCCTCTGCCCCCCGCTGGCACCCCAAACGCTGGTTTTGCCTCTTGGTTGTGTCTGTTGACTCTCTTGGGTTCACTTCCTCATGTAATTTGTAATTTCTGATGATACAGCTCAGATCAGAGGAGGATGTTTTACTTGGGAGGCCTAGCTCTCTGGGCTATGAGGGGGAGGATATGCCAAAAATGAGGAGCTGATACCAAAGGCTCAAGTAGGAAGAAAATGTGTTGGAAATGATGATGGCAACAAATGTACAAATGTGCTTGACACAATGGATGCATGTATGTATTGTGGAAAGAGCTGTATGAGCCCCCAATAAAATGATTTAAAACAAAGAAGAAACAGTAAGAGGAAATAGGGATTTTTTTTAGAAATAAAACCTTTCTGGAGTATGAACCAAGTTGACTATAGTGGTTTCCACCCAAATGCATTAAGTAAAATTGAATTAAAAGCAAAATTATTTGAGAGAAAAGAGGTAAAATAACAATAATATAGTGACATCAACCTGGGTACTAATTCAAGATTAAATTGGAAGAGGCCTGGAAAAAAACACAATATAAAAACACATTTCTAAAAAATGTAGGTTAGAAGCCATATCTAAAGTTATCATCTCATGCTATATAAGGAGATTCTTTTAGCTGAATGAAGAGTGCCTTGTAAATCATAGTAGAGTAGGTGATGCTACTTTGAGCAATAGGTTTAATCACAAAAAGAAATACAGTTAATCACAAATACCAAAAAGAGTACTAAGACATGGCAAAGCAAGTAAAAAGGAATTTGCTAATTCAAAGGATGCAAAAAAAAAAGCCCGCTCTAAATTAAAACAAAACAGGGTAATCACAAGTATACACAACAGTTATCTAAGACTGATAGATGTGACTACCCCAAACGGCTCAACTTTCACACATTCCCTCCAAATGTACCTGCAGAAAAGAACGAACTAAAATCCAGCAAAATCTGGGGAAGAATCTGAAATTCTTTGACAGGATGCAATCAAACCATAAAAATAAAAAAACTTACACGCACTACGCAAAAGCAAAGCCTGAACGATCTGCAGTGACGCCCGTGTAATGAGGGGGTAGTCTTCACCCACACATGGGCTTCCTCACCCAAGTCAATGCCAGGCTGAGGAAGCACAGCCAAGTGCATGGGAATGCTACTCTAAGGCAAAGCCACCTCTTTGGTTTCTACATTCTGAGGAGTCTCCTTTGTTATTCGTGGCCTTCAGCTCTAGCTCTGTTTCCTGCAGCATTTTTATGCATTAGAGTGGCGGAGGGGTCCGTCTCTTCCTGTTAGCTCTCTGCCACAAGGCTCACTTCAGTCCCCAGTGAAGACACTCACCTGCTAAGAAGCCCTGGGCAAACGCTCGGATGGATCTCGTATCAGCAAGGTCCAGTTTACGCACCAACACCTGCTGGTTCCCTGTCTTGGTCTGGATTTCTTTGGCCACCAATTCCCCCTTTTGTACATCTCGGCATGCGAGGTATACCCGGGCTCCTGTCAACCAACATGCAGAAGAGCAAAACGGTCAGCTCTAATTTTGAGTGTTCACTGTAGGCCCAATATCAAAGTTTAATGTGAATCTCTACTGTTTTTGTCTAAAACACAACAAAAAACACCAGGAATCCTTAGTCCCTACTTCACAAAACGAGTACCTGATGAGCAAACTAGGAAAGACCAACAAAGCAGTCCTGCGGCTAGAGTGCCCGCTGTGGGGAGCGCGGTACTAGGTTCAGACCAGCTCAGTGGGGGCACGTGGGAGTGTTCTTGAATACCCAGACTGGGCAGGAGATGATGAGAATGGCAGTGTCACTACCACCGGCTGCAGCCAGGTGATTCCCACTCCAGGTAACCCCGGGGTGCTGCAGAGCAGGCCTGTGCTCCATGGACATGTCTTGGCTGTGACATTTCAGAAGCAGTGACCTTTCCGGCCTTTTTGCCAAAGAGCCAACTGTTGGGTTAGTGGCTAAGCGTTTAAACAGGGGCCCTTGCATCCCCTCCAGTGGCGTCAGCAGAGTGGGGTGGGAACTAGCAGCAAATGAACGTGCCTCTTTTAGCCAGCTCTTTGGCCGTCTCCTTCCCAATGCCTGTGTTGGCTCCCGTAACCACAGCTACTTTCCCAGGAAGCTGGACGGGGGAGGTACACACGCCACTGGACAGCATTTCCCTGCAGGGCGAGAAGAGAGGGCATCAGAGCTTCATCTCCCTCCTGTGACTTTCTGTATCTTTTTTTTTTTTTACTTTCTGTATCTTAACAATCCCCAAGTGGCCGTGATGTCACTAGGCTTGTTGTCCCTGCTCCCCGGCCAGGGGTCTCCTCCTTCCGTACCACACTATCCAGAATCTTTAGTGACATCTACTACCAATTTGAATCAGGAAAGACTGAGTGACATAGTTCTAAGCGGCTCAGATGTAAAACTTCTTTGCATTCACGACATGAGTACCAGCCAAACAAGTGTTGGGAAATCTTTCCACATTGCACGACAGCACTACTAGTAACGGAGGTCTTTTGTGATGTTCTCCTTTTCTTGTCCCTACTCACAAAAAGCTATTGCGAGAACTTCACAGATACTACTTACCACAAAGTTGTTGCTAACACACCGGAAAAATCAACATCGGCGCCACTATAGGTACGTTGAGGTATGAGGAGGCTTCAGAAAAGTCGTACCTTTAGAGGTGCCTTGGGTCTCCAAAACATGCTTTTGTTGTCTACCTCGCTGTAGGGTTATTTTTATTAAAAGACAACAACAACTTTCTGTTGAAACCCTGCACACAAATGTTTATAGCCAGTCCCTTTGGTGGCGTCGCCAGTGGCCCCGGGCAAGGCCGGCAACCCTAGAGGGATGCCATTGCAAGTGGACACATTTCTTGGCTCCTTCCCTTGGAGAGGAGAAGAGAGAAGTTTAGGGCTCTCGTTCAGACACAAGAGTGGTTCTATTACCAGGGCAAACCTGCAGTTGTTCTCTGCTCTGCCAGAACTGGGTGGACATTAATTGGCCAAGCACCTACCCTTGGTTTGAACTCCCCTAAGCCACATTTGGCTTAAGAAATAACAAGACTTGTTCCAGAATAAGTATGCCAATCTGCCCACAATTGGCATCTTATGGCGGAGAAAAAGAGCTAATCAAATAATAAAAAAAAAAAGGCTATGAAAGCCTGAAGGAGCTGTGAGGCCTAATGGTTTATGCAATGTTAATCACACCGTCAGCAACTCCATCCCATTAGCCATTCTGCTCCTGTAAAGATTTAAAGTCTTGGAAACCCGGGACATGTCTTATCTGTCATATAGAGTCGCTAGGAGTCAAAATTGACTCAATGCTACTGAATCTGGTTTGGGGTTTGGTTAGCCTGGCAGAAAACAAAGAAACATAAAACAAACCACAAATAAGACAAAGGCAAGACTTAAGAGAGCTGAGACTCGAGTCCTGGCTTGTCTTACTGTTGACCAGGAGAAAAGATTTCCTTTCCAAATGAATGAAGGCATGAACATGTACTCGCCTTGGCGTTTCTCACATTAGATTCTCTTCTCTGCAACTTCAAGCCGGGTAAAAAGAAGCTGTTGACCATGGGTGTTAGCCATCCAGTTCTAATATAACAGAACGACCACCAGTAGGCATGGAAAGACTCTTATGTTGGCTCTGGAGGAAGGGTCAGTGAGAACACCCTCTGGTTAGGCCCCAGCCCAGTCTCTGTCTTGCTCCGGTAAGTCTCACAAAGCTCTTCAAACCCATAGCCTCATGCCCAAGGGAAATCAGCTCACTCTTGCTCTATGGGTGGCTCTCATGCCATGCCATCTCCTGCCTCCACTTCTAGCCATCTTGCATCATCTCAGGTCTGCTAGCTCTCTCTGTCTTCCTGTGGGTGTCCAGAGGTTCCAAGTGTAGCAACTCCTTGTCCAAAGAACATTCTACTTCCATCTCTTGTCCTTCATGGTATTGAGGTTCCTCCATTTCTGGTCACTTATTTAATCTTTTTTTTTTTTCTTCCTATAAATCCCAAGAGACTGACAATCCTGTAGACTGCACCCTGCTTACATGGCAACATAGGATAATTACATGAAGTCACACAACACAACTAGGAATTAACCCGGCCATACCTTCACATAACGTTTGAGGACGCAATTCAATCCTCAACACCGGAAGCAGCATTGTAAAACAGCAGCTCAGCCTTTTTCATTTTAACTTGGAATTGTAAAGTACACACTCCTAGCCACGGAAGTTGACGATCCCCCGTTCTCCAAAGCTCTAAAGAGCACACAGCTCATTTCGTGCAAATAGGCCAACCAAGAAGCACACTACCTGACTCCTGGTGCCCACCAACCTTTTCCCTGGGAGAACAGGCCTCCCTGCTCAATTTTCCACATCCCTTTTAGCTGTTCTTAGCTTTGTCCTATTTTCAACCACAAGGAATGTAAGAGACAACCAGCTATTGACCCAGCGGGGTCTGGGGGGATAATGGCCCTTGGAGTAAAACTAGTTTGGGTTCCTGCTCAACTTTTCATTGAGACTCCTGTGTAAGTAGCAGGGCCCGTGGTGGTGAGCAATACACAGCAGTGTTTTAGTGTGAGGAGTCCAGAGGAAAGGGAAAACCACAGCTGGAAAACGGGCCTCAGGGAGGGATGGGAAACTTAAAAATTAGAATGAAGAGGGAGATGGTGAAAAATGGTCTCTTAGTGTCCTGGGTCCCAGCCACTACTGGTGACTTCCTCAGAACCAATCAGCAGGCAGCCTGCTGTGCAGCTCTCTCCCCATTGGGCCGGGTTGGCCTAAGCTGTTTTGTCACCTGATCCCATGGCCACTCCTCCTGCCACCCTGACCCCCAAAGGCATCCCCCAACGGCATATGCCCAGCCCTCAGCAGCACATTTCTCCATTATCCAGATGCTCCCACTGGGCAGGCTCGGGATGGACCGCTCTCCCCTTCCACCCTCCCCTAACCACCCTGACCCAGAGTCAGAGCGACTGCAACAGCTACTGGCTGGCACCGTGTCCCCATTGCGAGGCAAGGGCCCTTTCGCGGAGCAGCAGGTTGAATCGCTCCTCCTGCACTTCAGGGCCCGGAAGTTGGGGTGCGGCTGGCACAAGGCGTGCGGTTTGGGAAGACACATCCCACGTCAGCGCCCGAGGTCGCCTCGTCTACGGGGTTCTTTGAATGAGGGAGCAGAGTTGCTAAGAGGAAACGAGGTACCAGCAGACAGGAAGCGGATGCCCGGGACTGCGGTCCCTATTTGCGGGTTCGGGTACGGGGGTGTCCAGACGGCTCCCCGAGGCTCAGTTCTCCCTACCCGCATCCCTGTCCTCCCCTCCCACCAGCCGGACTCCCCGCCCCGCCATCTTGGGTACCGCCCGCCCCGTCCGGGGGCCTTTCTTTCCTCTCTCGAGGAAAGGAAGAGCGCTGCCGTGGGTTTAATATTCCCTCGAGACAATGGATGCTCACAGACCTGATTCTCGGAGCGGCCATGTACAGGAGCAAGGGGAGAGGGAGGAGCAGGAGCAGGGCGGCGATCATCTCCGCAAAGCCGGCGGGCGCGGCGGGAGCGGACGGTCCGCGTGGTTCCCACGGACCGGGCGGCTCGCGCTCGACGCGCCTACGGGCGAATTGCAGCCACCGGGCGGGGCGGGGCGGGGCGCGCCGGAGTGCAAAGCTCTCTGGGAAATGTAGTCCGAGGCGTGGTCTCGGCTAGCACGCGCGCGGAGCGCCGTTTGCCAAGTTAAAGCGTGCACCAGTTAAGCAAAACAAAACAAAGGCTTTGATCTAAAATTAGAGCCATCGGAATCATCCAATCCGCTTGCACCAAGCCTTCCGGACCCAGGTGGCTTGCTCCCCGACCCGCGCTTTCTCCACCCACCTCCCCGCGCCACTGGTTCAATTCTCAGTGATGGATGGGGGTATGGTTGTCGCAACAATTGGGGTCAGGGCATGTTCGAAGGCCGGTTACCCAGCGAGGAGCGGTTGGAGTCTGACAATTGGTGAGGTGCGGGGAGGTTTGAGCCCTTCCTCCGCAGGTATACACCTTCACCAAGGAAGTCTTCAAACTTTGAAGGCATTTGTAGGAGCATCTTTTTTTTTTTGGCAGGGGTTGAGGGTGGGGCGTGGTTGGTGGTGGAATCTGTTTTGAATCATGCTGTTTGAATCATTGTAACCCATTATATTCGCCACACCCCCACCGTGTTCCTGGTGTCTGTGGAGTGTTCCCTGATAATCGAATATACATCCTGATCACTTCGATTACTTATATTGACCCCAGTCAGGGCATTCCTCAAGCGGCCCCACTTGGTATTGCGAACTCATGAAAGTGTGTTATCCTGTCTTGAACCAAGCCTACGGCGCTGTTTTCCTGAGAATAAGCAGAGCCCTTGTTCCGGTTTTGCTATGCGATCCACATCCGGTTTCCGCAGGGATGGAGGCAGGGAGTGTCTGAACAAGTCCTAGCTGTTATTTTCTGATGGCTGTTTTTTGGTTCATTTGTAGAATTAATGCCCTTTTCATTGAAAAATACATTCCAAAATATCCAATTGACTCAACATATGTTAAAAGTCACAGAATAGGAGTTTGCATCACACAATTAACTCCTCCTTACTTGGCATGAGGTGAGCTGATAATCACCTGTTTATCATCACATTGTGTTAGCTTGCATTTGTACTAAGGTTTATCACTCTATAAATACATCTTATGTTGTGTTCAGTATTCATTCAACTACTAAGTCCACAGATGTTTATGGTCTTCCTATGCGGTGCTAAGCTCTGAGCAGCAGGCAGCCAGGCAGACCTTATCCTCTCAGAGCTTGTGAACATCATGGGAAGCCCTTGAACCCCACTCACTGTGAATCTAGCCTGACCCAGGTGGGAGAGGACCAGAGAGCACAGGGCTGTGCTAAGGGTGTTAGTGACAGACAGAGACTGAAGTTAGTTATTATTTCTAAAGTTTTAATCACCAGCATCATAAACATTTGCCCTGGGCGACCTGGTTTGGGTTATATTCTCCAGATTGGCGAAAATGTCCTCACTTGTCACATTTTGTCTGTTTCCCCATAGAGTTCCAGCTTCCAGAATTTCCCCCTTTTGATCAAGTCTCTGCTAGGTGGTGCTGATCACCCAATGGAGTAATTCTTATTAGCCTTGCCAGGAGACTAGGTCTCATCTTCAGTGTAAATAGACTCCAGGCTTTATTTGTGGAGGTTTTCGGCCACATTTGAGGGGCTCTTCTGCCAGCTTGAAGGGCATGAACCAGCACCAGTAGATGAGAAAGTGAACATATGATTGTTGAAAAGTACCAATGATTAACACCAGTTTGTCTGCAGGAAGAGTAGATTTGGGGCTACAACATTCCATAGAGCAGTGGTCCTCCACCTTCCTCGTGCTGCGACCCTTTCAAACAGTTCCTCATGTGGTGGTGACCCCCCCAACCATAACATTATTTTCATTGCTACTTCATCACTGTCATTTTGCTACTGTTATGGATCGAGCAACCCCTGTGAAAGGGTCATTTGACCCCCCAAAGGGGTCTCGACCCACAGGTTGAGAACCACTGCCATAGAGGTATAATAGTTGATCGTGAAAATGTCTATTTTATAATTATAATGATAACTACAAAGATGAATAGAAATGGACCAAAGAAAATTAATATTTCTTCCACTATCCACCCCATGAAACTAAACGGTTACTTAGAATTTCAGGTAAAGAGTGAACAGAATCATTGAGATTTAATATTCTGCATTGCATATGGGAAACATAATGAGTAATATTAGCACTATTGTAAGGAAGATAAAGAGCAATCACTTTTAATAATGAAACAGTACTTGTGCTGCATTAAGGATGTTGAGGGTCATTCAGTTTTGAAGAACTCTCATCATAGGCATTTCAGTATTCATTTGTTAGAACCCATGGGCAAAGTCATTAGGAGCATTCTGAATAAGTCAGATTGTCAACATGTTCTGTAACAATATCTAAACCTATTTGGGGTAAGAAAATAGAAGTAAAATGATCATACCAATGAAACGCAGACCTAGACCACTGAGCGGTTAAGAAGAGGTCCAACTCAAACTTGCAGTACATCTGCCAATCCATTCAGAGGAAAACTGTAATGGTTAGGTTTTGTGTCAATGTGGCTGGGCCAGGAGGAGCCCTGGGGGCGTAGTGGTTGCATGTTGGCATGCTAACTGCAAGGTGAGCAGTTTGAAACCACCAGCTGCTCTGTGGGACAAAGACGAGGCTCTTGTTCTCCTGTCATGAATTATAGTCTCAGAAACCAACAGGGGCAGTACTAGCCTGTTCCAAAGAATCATCATGGGCCAGAAGCAACTACATGGCAGTGAGTTTGGTTTATTGGTTGGCTGGGCCAAGAGTCTCAGTATTTTGGCTGTTGAGACTTCCCCCATGATGTAACCTTACAGTATAATCTACTTCATGATGAGATTGGCTGTGGGGAGCAAAGCAGTTATAAAAACTAGGAAGGAGTGTCGCCTTAGTACTCAGGGCACTTCCATGATGCAATAGAAAGGAAGTTTCCTCAGGAGTATGGCCTACTCCTACTTAAGAAGACTCAGCAATGGGAAGGCTTTTCTTTCCCTACTGGTCTGGATCCTGCGTCTATTTCATTGGCCTCTGATTCCCTGGATTTGAGCCTGACCTGCTGATCTTGGATTCATCTGCCTCTGCATCCACCAGCCTTGTCTTCCTCCCCTTTGGCTCCCTGCTTTCTGTTTTGTCAGTCCAGACAGCCACAAGGTCAGGAAAAGCCTCCAGCTTAACATCTGACCCATGGATTTGCACTGGACTGGGCTTACTGCCTTCTACAAATGTGTGAGCTAATTTCTGTATTTAAAAAAATAATATGTATATGCATATGCATATATATATACACACACACATATATCTATATATATGTGTCACTGTTTTTACTTCTTTAGATAATCTAACAACGCAGAATCCAATACCTGCAAAATCCGTCAATTAAATCCTTCAAAAGATGGAAAAAGAAATCACAGGATCAACAATCATAGTAGGCTTTAATACACCGCTCTATGAGAAAGACAAATCAGTGGGAAAGAAGATTGTGGTAGTTATATAATCATTTGTCAATTTGAGGATTAAGAATGTAGGCGTGGAGTCTAGCCTGTCAATCAGCTCATAGCCAATGAGGCCTCTGTGTGGGCATGGCTTTCTCCTGAGAATTCCGGGAAATCTGGGATTTCCTCCTTGGAAGCAGAAGAGAATCTCTCTCTCACTATTTCACTCCCTGAGAGACACTGCAGCTGACAAGACACATGGAACTACCCTAGTGCCCTGAGCCGGACAAGCTACATGGATGCAACCAGACCTCTGAAGCTGGAGAAGCCACAGTGCTGAGATGCTTACAATGCCACTGGACCCAAAGAATTTCTATGCACTGGCCTGTGATCTTCTACATTCGGTGTCATTGTATGTGTTTCATGAGTCTGAAGAGGGCTTTATAGATTGGTATCAGATTTATGGGCTTGATCTGGACTGGGCTGGGATGTTTTCTCAATGTTCAATTGCTCTTGTATATAATCTCTTTCTTATACACATATGTGTGTCCATGGATTTGTTTCTCTAGTCTATCCAGACTAACAAAAAGCTCAACAAGGAGATTACAGAACTAAACTCTACAATTTGACAACTCAACCTGATAGACATTTTCAGCACTCTTCACTGAACTGAAAAAAAAAATTACATTATTTTCAATTGCACCAGGCACATATTCAAAAATAGACCACATGTTGGGACACAAGTCAAGCTTGAGCAAATTAAAACTTATAGAGGGTACTCAGACTAGCTTCTCTGACCACTACATCATAAAGTTGAAAATCAACTAAAGAAGGTTTTTAAAAAAAGAGCAAATACTTGGAGGATGAATAACTTACTTCTTCACAAAGAGCAGGTATTGACCCATAATAGAGACAAAATTAGGAAGTTTCTAGAAACCAATGAGAATGCGAATACAACCTACCCAAATCTATGGGATACAGCAAAGCAGTTATCAAAGGATGCTTGATAGTGATAAATGCACATATGAAGAAGGAAGAGAGACAGTCAATATCCTATCACAAAACTTTCAACAGTTGGAACAGAGTCACAAGAATAATCCTTCTAATAGGAAAATTATAATAATCAGGGCAGAGATAAATAAGGGGGTAAACAAAACCAAAAAATGGAAAAAATCAACTCAGTAACAAGCTGGTTTTTTGAAAGGATTAACAGAATCGACAGACCATTGGCAAACCTAACAAAAGACAGGAAGGGGCAGACGTCAACATCCAGGATGAGGGATGACAAATGGGAAATTACAATGGACCCTAATAAAATTTGAAAACCAATTATACAATACTACGAAGGGCTGTACTCCAATGATAAAACAACTTGGAGGACATGGAAAAATACCTGGAAAAACCAACCTTCCCTGAACTGTCTCATATAGATGTCAAGAACTTGAACAGACCCATAGCAAAAGAAGAATTAGATAAGGTTATCAAGGAACTACCAACTAAAAATAGCCATGCCCAGATGACTTCACAAGAGAAT